AACTTTTTTTACAGGGCAAATAAAGGAAGAAGAAATAGCCACAGTGTGAGTGAGCAGAGAAGTCCTGCTGCACATCTCAAGTCAGAGAGGTTTTTAAGGGATTTGTTACATGGCAACCACTGGCCGCAGAAGACACTAAGGATAAGGAAAAAAAGGAAGATGAAAATTCCGCTAATCCCAACTATAAGGAACTCGCATATTTCTTTGTATTTATATTCAATGCCTTGCTAAGAAATTTAAATGGAGTGCCCATGTCATGAAGGGTGGATAAGAGAAGCTTTATGTCTTTAATCCAGGGCTGTACTTCCAAACCTTGTCATAGCTAGAACACTTCTACAAGAATGTCTCACCCATTTTGATGGGGCAATGAAAATTATGGTTTCAGAGGTATTACTAATACCAAGAAGGATTTGCCAGGTATTTGGATTTTACACAAGCAGTACATATTTGCCACCTGCCAGAATTAAACCTACACATTCCAGGCTCTGGGATGAAAGCCAGAAGACTGAGGTGCACCTCTAATGCTGGATAGATAGCCTGATGAGCTTGGGTGGTTTAATTTGTCAATGGCCATAATGGCAGCAGGAACTTGAAATCTGCTGAAACTCTGAATGTCCTTTACTCTCTATCTATGTGGTCTAGAGACAGACAACCACTGAATCATGAACAGCAATCACTAACTTATGAAACGCAATTAGAAGGGAACCCCAACAGCCACCTAATGAAATGCCAAGGACTTGGCACAAATACCTCTGGTGATACAGCGAAGAAGGAGCCCATAACTCTTACCTTAAGCACTGCTTGCTTCCTTCCCATACTGACAGCTTTAGCAACAACGTGACTTAGAGTGTCTAATTATAGGATAATTATTGTTGTTGCATTTGTAAAGGTCAGTCAGTAGAAGCTAGGACCCTAAGGGAACGGAGACAAGAAAGGCAAAGAAGGAAATGGGAGTAGCAAGGTTCGTGGGCTTTTTGATCGAGTAGAAACAGAGAGGGAGATACAGCCTTCCTCTGTAACTGGACCACAATCTGTAGTCGTGCAACATTAATGGTTTGTGCTCACGATTAAAGGCAAATGCTCTCCTGGTATAAGTGGGAGATAAGATTCAGGCCATGCATGTCTCTGCCTTTCTCTACATCTGCGATGCCAAAGAATGAAGCCACTGTGGTGATACTGGCCAAGAATAACCCAGACAGGTCACTGCATCTGAAACTGCCTACTCTCCTTTCCTGCTTCTACACTGCCTCAATACAAAGGAGGCAGTTTCTGGGCTGAAAACTGATTTTTGCTCCTAAGATTAAGGAGAAAGAACTGGTAAAGAGATGAAAGACAACTCCAAAGACAGGTGGTATAACAGCACAGAGAAGGTGGACTCAGAAACTGAGTATTATTACATAGCATTAGTATTATTAGTATTGTTATTAGTATTATTCCCATATTCAATGACCACCATCTAAGACAGCAGAAAACTTAGCTCAGATTAATAAATTCTCCTTTCAAATCCACACAAAAGAAATCAGCCATGCTGCAGACACTGATGATCTTTTGTTGATCTTCTTCCCCTCCAAGCTTCCTGCCCATTTTTTGACACATTTTTTGACTGCCCTTGGTGGGGGCCACCAGGCAGAAGATCACTCACACTTTTCAGCACATTTGCATTTCAGTCCATGAAGAGAAGACTAATATCTGTCATGCAGGTACCGGGTGCATCCTGTAAGCTACAGTATATACTTAAAAACTATTTTGTTGGAGGGAAGCCTCTGGGATATTAACCAATAAGTAAGTAAATAAATAAATCTGTGCAGACGTTGATCTATATCCACCTGAAAAGCTTCGGATTTCATTAGGAGAAAACATGAAGCAAGACTGCAACTAGCAGAAAAGAATACTTGGATTCAGCTAATCATCTGAACAGAAGCAGGAGATATTCACTAACTGGGCTTCCCTTCTCTGTATGAATAATTGCCTGATCCTAGAACAAAAATTAGTTTATTTGGTGGCTATAACAAAATCACAACTTGTCAGCAATAGTATTGTCAGGAATCCTGAACTTGCCCTGTGCAAATGGAATTGGCACACCTAATTTATTTTTTGTAAGACTTCAAAGAAAATAGGTCAAAATTCCTCACTGCAATTAGTTCAACTTAATATGTGCATCTTTGATCTGTCAAAATATAATTCTACTTTTCTAAATTATCCTCATTTCATTGAAACTGGCAAGATATGAAAGTATGGATGGATCTGAACCTAACGGAGGTTCTCCAAGGAATTGGCTTGTTATAAATGTGTGATGTGACAGCCAGGGTAAATCCATTGCCTATGAGCCAAGGCAACTTCTTCACTCCTGCAGTATTCATTTAGTAATTCTTGTCACTTCCACACTAGTCGGATGAAAAGTTTTTCTAAGAAAGGAAATATGTAGATTTTAGATTTGTGAAAAATAGATTGAACATTAGTTTAGCTTAAACCCATCTGTGTGATTTTAACGCCTTGTAGGATCTGTTTTCTAAACACAGAGCAAATTGCAAGCGTGGCAACAGAATACTCATCTGTGTAGCTGATTTCAGAGCACAGTAAGAACTGACATTAATGAGAATTATCAGATCAATCAGACATAAATCCTAGACATGCTGTTGTCCTCTTCAGGCATCCTAAACTTTATACCCAATTCCAGCTGCATTTCTAAGGACATTTCTAACTTACAGCATTGGACTGTATTACGCAAGTAAAGAGGTCATCACTATAAAATAAAGAGAAAATAAAGTTTCCAAGGTAAAATTTAAAGGGCTAAAATGACTCAGTGGGACAAAAACCAGAAGAGTTCTGGATACACTGGTTAAATCAAGGAGAGAAAAACTTGTTTTCAACTCTCATAATTCATGGGAAAGGTACAGGAATAAGACCTGGAATGGAGAAATAAACTGAATATATATGTATAAAGAAGATAAACAAAGGGGAGTAGAACTTGAGGTTAGATACAAGTATCCTCATTTTCAAACATCAGAAGTTATTTGTCAAAAGATGACAAATTTTTGTGGTTGGCAAAGGTTTTACAAGTAAAAGACACGATCTTACAGATAAAACCATAGGGGAGGGAGATCGTAACTTGTATTTGACATTTCTGAGTCCATTCGCCCTTGGTACCCCCATGTGTGTGTCTAAGGAGGGAAAGGGAAAGAGTAAATGAACAAGGTAAACAAGCACATTGTGCAACACTGCATCTGGAAAACTGTGTCAGCCTTTAACTTGTTTAACTGGCCCTCCTGTGGCAATAACACATCATTACCGCTTTCCGGTGTTTATTAATGTCATTTTTATGGTTTATTTGTAGCAAGGTTCAAATTCCATGCAAATAGATGTTTAAAAAAAAAATCAGGGGTTTCATAGCTTTCATTACATATTGTACCAAGGAGATTGCATTGGATGCGGACAGGGCAGAGAAAGAGGCTAATGGAACAGCATTTTGAATAGATTTGTGGTCTTACACAGGATTCCTACCTCACCAAATTCCCTGAAATCCCATAGCTATCAAAATAAACATTCCAGTCAAACCTGTTATTTCAGACTAAAGATGCTCAGTTCTGCTGCACTAAGGATTTTTCTTTATGCCAAAAGGGTCAACACACTCTGAAGAAAATTGGTGGAGATTCATTCGCAAGTGTGGTCAAATGTCCAGGACTTCTCAGTACTAGTCATCGTTCCTTTAATAACAGCAACAAGGCAAGACTGTCATTCCCAAGCCACTCCTGGCCTGCTGGCATAGGCAGACTGCAGCATGCAGTAATGTGACTCCTCTGTTCCCTCTGAGGGAAAGGATGTAGAAGACTCAAGCATCCCAAATGACTAAGCACCCACCAGAAAGCAAAACTAGATGGTTAGTCATGAAACTGAGAGAGCAATCATTCACTGTATGGTAAGAAAACTGATTTCCTGAGCTCAGACTTAATTTCCAAGCTCTGTGAAGGGCCAAGGGGGATCTCTGTAGTATTTTTCCCCTTTCTTTTTCTTTTTTCCTTTTATGGAGTCTGAAATATGAATATATATATGTCATCTTTTGCATGTAAATTGGTATGAAAAGCTAAGGATGCTTTTTTCTCTATAGAAATCCAAAATTAAGCATTTAGAAAGTACCCTATCGGATTTAATTTGAACAAATGTATTCAGTGAGTTCTCAAAATACCTAGGAGAGGATAGTGAGACTTTACCCCTTCCCACACAACTTCCAGCATAATTTCAGTGATAATTTCTCAGTCCATAGGTTGATCATGCTATGGCTTCATAAATAAAATACAAGACTCAAAATGGGAATAGGTTATGAGAGGATTAAACAAGTGACACTTGTTACTGATAAGAGCATTCACCATTGCATCTCAAAGGGATGCTGCAAATCTTGTTTCTCCTTTTATTCTTCTCACTGCAGTTAAAGGAGGGACAATGAATTTACGAAGTTTTCTTTACAGCTAGAGCAGTCTGTAGTACCACCTCTTGGCAATGAGACTTAGTTGGGACAGGTAAGGCAAAATCTGCTGGGGAGGACAGCACTAGGACTATGCACTGATTTCCAGGGAACCATCTTCTTTCCGCTTTCATAGCTCAGTTCAGTCAGAAGACTCAAACTACTGGAACACTCAAATTAGGCGTTTACTGTGGGATGGGGTTTTCAACGTAATCTAGAGCACAACTTGAAAATTCATCAGAGAAGCTTGCAATGTCCAAAAAACTTGGATGACTGGGAATTTTGGTTTAGAAATTCTAGCCATCCATTTCAGAACTTCTTCTATAAGTTTACTTCATGTCTAAAAGCTCATTTTAGCCTCAGGACCTCTATATAGGAAAGGAGCTAATTTTAGGCTAGACACAAATACTGATAAAGATCTGTTAACATGACTGGGAGAGACATATCCTTGGACTGAAAGCTATCAACTTTAGCGAGTGAAACTATTTTATTTTGTTATAAAGTTTTCAGTGAAAATATTCAGTTTCCCTTTTGGGGTTACCTGAGATATCTTTGAGCCTGCAGATCTTCACATACCACTTTCACCCTGTCTTCAGTGCAAGAGGTGCTCTCAGCTGCCAGAGAGAATATGCACTTTGACCTCATGGTAGCTGAATATATCACTTAGGGTCAGGTTTCTCCTATTACTTCTAATTAAGAAATCACATTTCTGTTTCTATCAATATTCTTTGTGCCCTTTCCCAGTTACCTGCCAGATCACTCATCACTTGAGTGCAGCAAGCAAAAAGGATTTGAATGCAGACAATGGAAAAAGGCTGAGGATTTTCAGTCATGACTCTCAGTCACATTATGCTCACCTGGTATGATTGAAGCCTGCATCATTCCGAAAGCAGAGATTTGTAAATGCCTGTTTGCTCACAAACAAGCACAGGGGGTTCCCAAAAGCTGTGCTAGCAGGACTAAGCCAGTGAAAGAAAACAAGCATACTGTAAGGCTGCGAAGGCAAGATGACCTATCCATGTCTCTTGCCTCTTAGGATGAAATAGTGCTAGACCTCCTCCCAGATCATGCTTCATTTCATCAGCAGCCCTGCTGACTTCACTATGACTATTCAGGCTGGTTAGAATACTTACAGTCTGGACCCAGTTTCTCTGCTTCTTAATTTAGGGAGGGTAAAAAGACTTAGTCAAAATATCTAAAAGCCCTAGACAGTTACTACCAATTGTGACAGAAAAACTTTGAAAAAGTAGATCAAATCTGGCCCTGTTAACCCTTGCCAGCCAATGTTTTGGCTTTGGGTATTTTTTTAAGGTCCTTTCTTGTCACTGTAAATCAGATGATTCACACTGGTAACATGTTGTATCGCTTATCCAGTAATGCAACCTAATAAAACCCTGCTTAAAACCATTTTCCTTAAAGAACCAGAAGAATTTGTTCCTTGCAGAATCAAACCTGTGTTCTTAATAAAGGCAGATTGAATAAAACAAGCCCTGTGAAGTAAAGGGACTAATTTAACAGCTCGCTGATGAAAATCTGTGGCTAGCTTCCCCCTCCCTCAGCCTTTGCATGAGAACAGATGGTTTAAGACAAGTTTTGAATGCAAAGTTAATTAAAAAAAAAAAAAATCCATTCCTCTTACAATCCTTGGGCTAAGACTTTAAAAGTTCCCTGCTAAATCGGAATGCCAATGCTCTTATTTTGAGCTCTGTAATAAGGAAACAGACTCATTAATGTTCTGTAATTATTGAAGTAGAGTGATGGTCATGGATTAGCCCTTGAATTGAGCACGGCAGGCTCCTTTGGCAACTAGACATCAGAATGGAATTTGAAAACCTCTGTTTTGTTCCATTTTCTCCATTGTTCTTAATCTGGTGCTGGAAGCAGGTACAGTCACCTTGATGGCAATGTCTCCAGAGGGAAAGGGAAGGTATTCAAAATGCAAGATTATTTCGCATAACAAAAACAACAACAACTTACTACGTGTTAGGATTTGATTTCAATGAACTCTGCAAAAAACCACCTCAATTATTTCATCTTGGGCTGGGGTGCATCTATTTCTAGGATGGAAGGTAATAGTTTGTTAATGACAGCAATATTGTATAAGAACCAGCACAGGACGTGAGAAAACTAATATTAAATTTGTTCCTGGTATTGCTGCAAGCTCTTTCCCCAAAGAATTTCCAGTCTGAAAAAGTCACTTTAAATTGCTGGGAGGAGTTTGGGGTAAGTGAAAAGTAATTGCCTGAATTAGAATCATCTTGGCTTAATGCATTTAATGCTTTCACACGTCAAACATGAGAAGATCTTTAAACAACCAAGTGCACCTGGAGAAAAGTTTTGTTTTACCTCTCATTTACAACTAAAGCATCTCCCAGCCTGTTCCTAGAGACTAACTCCAGAGGCAAAGTCACTCCCAAAGACTCAAAAACATTTCCTTCTGTCATTTTCCTCCCAAAGCTTTCTACCAAAAAACTGATTCAGTCCAAATGTGCTTAATACCAGCTCTTAAGAAATGAGAAATTCCTAAGCCTACAAGGATGCCTTCTGGTTATAAGTCTAAATTTATGATGAATTTTAATAGGATCAAGTAATCCTGATCTTGTCAGAATCCTAATCACAATGGGACCAAAACAAGTAGTTAGTAAAGTCACTCTTCAGTCCTTGTTGAAGTGTAACTTGGAGGGAGATCTAATTAAGTACTGTGAGGCAGAATCCTTCTAGTTACCTTACCATTTTTTATCATATCTTTTACAAGCTCCAGCAGCAGCTCTCAGAAACTGAAACAGACACTGAGCATCTGTTTCACAAGTTGTACATATAAAACAGAAATATTCAGTCATCAGTATGTAAACTATGAATAGAACACATAACTCGAGTTGGGGTGATTGTTGTCATTGAGCTGTTTGGTTTTTTCAAGGCAGTATTTGATTTTTGCACCACTACTTGATTATGGATTGCAAAACCGCAGGAGCAATTAATTACAGAGACAAACTCTTACCCTACTGCAGTCTAATTCCTTAATAGCATCCTTGAATCAAAGAGATGTCTAAACATTATCACACACACCTGTGATTAATAGCTCCCACAATCAATTACAGATGCAAACATGCAGGAGCAGACGTGGCCCATAATGTGAATGGATTGAAGGTGCCATGTATGTGACCAAGTGTGCAGTCTATTTATCGCCTAGTGCTAGCATTTTAAGGAGCTAAAGTTTACACAGTTTATCCTGAGCTGAGCAGCCTGGCAAACAGCTTTAAAGAGGCTAAACATGATCTATAGGTGATGGTATAAATATTGCTAAAAACATTATATCCTTCCAGCTCAGGTGTGGCTGATACTCTACCTGATGTTTTAATTGGCACAAGGGGTCATGGTAATCATAGTTAATTGGAACCAAATGAAGTCTTTTGACTTCCAGTCTATTTTTTTTCCTTCTTCATTGCTCCTCAAGTGACTTTTCTCCATACAGTACTAACTGATAGGACTTCTGATGGACTGTGGTGAAGAACAAAGTGCTTATACAAAAATCCAATGAGCATACAAAATGTGCAGTAATTAGGGCTAACTTGGTAGCCGGAAAGCAAAATGGGGCAAAGCAGTGTAAATCTCTTTAACATGAGTAAGGAGAAACAGGGAGTCCTCTTTTCTTTCTCTTCTTTCTTCCTCACTGGTACTCTCCTCATGATATACTTACCATGTCGTTGAGACCAAAATTCAACAGCTTCCCACCAAAACCACAGAAATATCTGCCAGCCTCAGCAGATCACAGTGAACCTTTCAGACAATGCAGGCTTACTTAAAATTTGCAACAAACCCCAACACTAGCCGAGTTTCACATAATTAAATGCTTAGGCAAAGGAGTTGCTCACAGCTCCAGTTACTGTAAAATGTCCCCTCTCTCCAGCTCCCTGACTAAACTGTGTGCCAAAGCAGACAGCAGCAAGGTGCTACTGAGGAATAAACCTTTTCTATCTCTCTCTCCCTTCCCCCAGCCACCTTAATTGCTTAAGATCTGGTCTTGCATCATACGGTTGTTCTAAACTGCTTAATCATTTTCTGAATCACAGATGAATGAAAGGGATTTTCCTTGCCACTAACATTGTGGATTTGTACATGTCTCTCTAATTCGGGGCCTTGCATTGCTAATCCCATTTTCTAAAGGGCAAATTATTCCCATAAACGTTAGCTGTGGCCTGTGCCTCTTCTCTTCTGCACTGGTCTCCACTGCTGCTATCTTAGGCAGAGTTGTACTTGTGGGGAATTGTGGCCTGCTTAAATACAACCCAAATATGATGTAGTATGTTTGCTCCAGCTCCACATTCTTAAACAGTCAAAACTCAGGCAAAAGTAAGACATAAGCAGACACAATGTCTTCACGTAGAAGAATTAATTCTTCCTAAGGAAGTCATACAGGATTGGTGGCTGTAGAGGTTCTCTAGGTTTTTTCTCCAGGCAGCTGTATTAATGACTGAACAACGTAAATGAAGGACTTTCTTCTCGGCAAGTTTTCTTTTTGCTGATTCATTATTATTAGGGAAATGGGTGAATCAGCTAGAATAAAGCAGGGACTCGTTGTGGATATTCATATTTTATTAGACACCTCCTGACAAAGCCTGACTGAAGCCACAAAACTGAGGTCTTCACCTGACCTTGCATCCTTCTCCCACCAGCCAAGAGCTGTTCAGAACTCAGGTTCTTGTTTTGGCCTACGACAGAAGCTACACATAACACAGTGCAGCTGTGAAATACAGATCCCAAGCCAAATCTTGATTTATGAAAACCTCATTCAGAGCAGTTCGTATGTAATGCTTTGGGCTGGAGCCATCTTTACCCAGAATTGGCACCAAACACTTCTTAAAGGTTCCATAAGAATATGGTTGGTTTTTTTTTGTTGTTGTTTTTTTTTTTTGCTTGTTTTGGTTTTGGTTTTCTTTTGATGACTTCCCATATTTATTCTGTCTCTGCATATCCTTACTTTAACAGGAAATAGAAATGGAAATGTTGAAACATCCTGAGAAATACTTTGTTTTGAGTTGATTGTTAAGGTGTTTCAAGCTCAACAAGAAGCAAAAATGATGAAAACTTTACAAAGAAGCTTACAGGGCAAGACAAAGCCCCACTTTTTCCTCAGATCTATCTTCACTACAAAGATAGTTCAGCTCCTAGCACCATGAAAAAAATGTAGTTCCTAAATAGTAAATGTTCTATAAAATGCCCAGGTTTGATTGACGCTCTAGTCAAAAGCCCCAGCATATGGGTTCAGGCACAGAATAAACCCACATTTATCGCAGTCAAATCAGTATCTGCCTCTCCCATAATGTGGTACCACCCTGTGCTTTGGCAAGGAGAGTTGAGACTGGGCTACACAAACCCAAAACTATTTGTTGTTAATATTGTTAGGGAGTGAAAGAAATGGTGAAGAAATTGTGAAGTTTAAATGTTTGGGGGCAAGATCCCTCCTGGCCTCTAATTAGAGCCTACACACTCATTTTCCTCCACTTGTATATGGGCCATGTAGAATCCCAGTCCTCTGTTGGGGAATGCAAAGCATTAGTGCACTTCTCATTATGCATATTTGTGGCATAAAGTCAGTTTTATGCTAAGAGGTTGTGAC